CCTCATCCTCCTCCTCCACCACCTCCTCCCTCTCCTCCTCCTTCGCATCCTCCTCATCCTCATCCTCTTTCTCGTTCTTCTCCTCCTCCTCCTCAACCTCCACCACCTCCTCCTTCACCTCCTCCTCCTTCTCATTCTCCTCATCCTCATCCTCTTTCTCTTTCTCCTCCTCCTCCTGCTCCTCTCCCTCCTTTTTCTTCACCTCCTGCCAGACAAAGAAAGATCCTTCTTCCAGGAAGGATCTGGAAAAAGGAGCGGGGCGACCGCAAAGGGAGGAGCGGGAACAACGGCGCCAGCAGGAGCAGGGGGAGATGGGGGAAGCAGAGAGGAAACATAAGCGTTGGGGGAACTTGCTTAGTGTGGTTGACTGATCATGAAGAGAGAACAAACAAAAATAGTCTCCCTGAATACGGTGCAGCAGACGCGGGGACCTAATTCACGTGGGTTTTTTTGCTAAAATCTGCCTCAAAAACGGTGAACATATCGACGACCAGCGAAGCGAGCTTGAGCCTCGCCAACAAGGCACCAGTCAGCCAGGCTCATATCGCTGACATCTGGGAAACCATATTCAACATACGTCGATATTTGTGCTCTTCCAACCCGGCGCGCTCCGCGACCTGCGAAAGTTGATATATATGTCGTTTGCGGTCCTCCGAAAAAGGTTCGCGACAGAAATTGCCCTGGATGCAGAGGTCTGGGCGGTGTTGCCGCACTGCAACGCCCTCAAACTCCTGCCCCGGAGGCCAGCCCATCGGGTCCCACGTAAGGGTCCCCCCATGGAGTCCCGCCGCTCCACCACCACAAAGATGCGATCAAAAGCGGCCAGCGTAAAACAGACCGCAGGGCTGACTGAGATCCGAACCACCAAACAAACGATCCTGAAGTTGCAGCTCGTGCGCGTGAGCCGGTGGGTCCTGCTGCCAGGACTGCAGCGGCGCCCTCTTCAGCACCAGCGACATGCAGGAACGCAGGCAGGCCAAACAACGGCGCGCGTGGCCGCCGACATCCTGTAGCCTGCCGCGGAGCTGGACCTCATGCCTGCAGGCGTGGGCCAAACCCATGCCTGCAAGCAAGAGGCCCACGAGCGTGTCGCCGTGCAGTAGGCTGCGGCAGCCACAGGGGGCAGGGGTGTCTCAGGTGGGAAACTCAAGTAAACTGCTGGCCCCTTAGAAGAGAGATGCGGAAAGGAGGGGATGAGGGGAATGATGTTGTTGATGGTGGTGGTCGTCATGGTGACGATGATGATGATGATGATGATGATGATGATGATGATGAGGAGGAGGAGGAGGAGGAGGAGGAGAAGACAGTGGCCAGCGTGGAGCCTTAATTATGTGTTTCTGGCAATCAATAGGGCGCAAGCTATGTGCCACAACCTATGTAGCGGCAACGGGCGGCGACGGCGGCAACATAGCCGCCAGACCCGCAGACAAACCCAGATGACGGGCGGCGACGAGGCGGCGACGGGGTGGCGACGGGGCGGCGACGGTGGCAACATAGCCGCCAGAGCGGCAGACAGGCCCAGACGACGGGCAGCGACGAGGCGGCGACGGGGTGACGACGGCGGCAACATAGCTGCCAGAGCGTTAGGCAGGCCCACCTCCTCAGAAAACAAATAGGAACCCCTTAGTGCAAGCGCTGTTTGGGGAACAGGTAAGAATCCCCAGGTGCAAACACTGCTAGGGGAATGAAGAGGATGAGAGAGAGGAGTAAGAGACTGGATAAGAGGAGCAGGAGAGGGGATAACCATCCGCCGCGCTCGCTGAAACCCCTGGGATGGCATGGGATAACCTCGGATCCCAAACGATCTTGTCATGAGGGAACTTGAATATGGAACGAAGCCCCTTGCGGGGCTCAGTGGCGCCCTGGTGCACGATGAACGCCAGGGGAAGACCCATGGAGGGAACAGAGAAACCCTAAGGATCATCGAGCCCCAGTCGAAATCAAAGTGGGCCTCATCCCAATGCTGGCGATTCGCATGCTTGATCTTCGACTTCGGACTCTTGCAAAGATGCTCCGAACATCAACCTCGACCTCCTGGTTTTGTCGACCTCCTCGACTTCGGACTCCCCCTGGGCTGGTCTTTCATCCTGGGTCGTTGTTTGACAATCCAGGGGCTCGGTACGGGCCCCCAGGCGCCGAACATTGTCAAAGCCATAGTGTGACTTTGAACGCTGTGAGTGGGGATGGAAGGAGGAGGAGGAGAAGGAGGAGGAGGAAGAAGAGGAGCGCCAACACCATGATGGTCTCGATGCCTCGCGATACTAAACGTTCAGCTGCTGGTTTCAGCCACCTGTATGGCCGAGCAGCGTGAGGCGGAGGAGGAAACAGAGAGCATTCATTGGGCATTTTGGCCTGTACAGGTTTCACTATATCAAACTGCTGCGGTAGCGTAAGGGGCGACTAATCTTGCTTCGCGACCACTTCCTTAGCCATGTGGTTTATTGTTAAGCTCGAAGTGGTGGCCAGTCTTGTATTTTCATGCGCGAGGTCAAAGGTCTGATACTCGACAGGGAGGCCGAATCCGAGGCGGAGAACGGGGCAAGGAGGGACGACGGTTCCATGACGACAGGCAAGGAGCGTGTGGCGGGGGCATTTGAAATCGCTGGTGTTGCCGTTGGGGCGAAGGCAGCCGAAAACGCAGTTCCACAGCGTATTTCACGCGGTCGGAGGCCAAGTGTGATGATGATGAGGAGGAGGAGGAGGAGGAGGAGGAGGAGGAGGAGAAGAAGGAGGACAAGGATGAGGAGGAGGAGGAGGAGGAGGACGAGGAGAAGTAGGAGCAGGAGGAGGAGGAGGCGGGGGTGGAGGAGAAGGAGGAGGTGGTGGAGGAGAGGGAACGGCTGCTTTGGATCCGAGCTCCGACGCTGATTGCTCCGAACCCTCCTCTTCCTCCTCCTCCTCCTCATCCTCCTTTTCCTCCCCCTTCCTCCTCCTTCCCTCGAACCTCGATCCTCCACTCTTGCCCACCCTCCGCAAAGTCCTCTGGACCTCCCGCGATGACACGTCCCCGCAGTGCTCGCGTAGGACGCAGGCCAACTGCTCGAGGGTTACCGTGCCGCGGCCTTCGCTGTCGAAGGCCAGGAATGTCTGCTCCTCACGCCCCCCTTCGCAACGATGATATTGATGATGGTGACGGTGGGCGGTGATGGGGTTGAGGGGGGTGATGATGAGGATGATGACGATAATGGTCGTAATGATGGTGATGATGTTGCTCATCATCGTCTTCGAACCAGACATCAGGCGCATCGACAAACATCGGAACGATCTAGTCGCGGCCATGTTTGCCATCTGGGCGCCGAATGCAAACACGTCTTCCGCGAGAAAACATGGCGACCTCACGCCGCGGCTTACGCGGGCCGCCAGCGTGGCACACCGGGCGGGAAAGAGCGTGTGGGAAACTTACGCGAGAATGTCGCCCCGCTTTCTTCCGTCGCTCATCTGGGGGCCGGTTTTAGGGGGGGCCGTCGAGTTGCCACGACGGTAAGACCCCACACGAGGCTCTTCTGAACTGTCCCCGGCTCCTCCTTGCTCTCCCCGCGCCCGACCCTTCGCGGAAGCCCGCCTCGCGCTTGGCCTCCGCCTCGTCCTCCTTCCGCCTCTCCCCCATCCACCTCCTCCCTCGCCCCTCTTGTGACGATCGCGCGTGCCGGTTTTCCTCGGCGCCGTCGCCGCCTCGGCCGGCGCCGGCGCGCTCTCCGCTGGCCGGATCGCGAGGCCCTCGGGGCAGCCCCGCGGGCCGTGGTCGGGCCGCTGGCGCGCGAGGCCAGGCCGTCGGGGCGACCCCCGCGGGCCTCGAGTTGCGCGCCGCCGCGCTCGGGCGGGAGGGCAGCGCGAAGCCTACAGTCGGGGCCTTGACCTAAGGAGCCCTAAATAAAAGGAACGAGGCTCATTTCTTCCATTCAGTTAACCTTCGAAGTCCTGTCGAGAACATAAGGAAAGCCTGAGGCGAGCTGTGAAACACTTAAGGAACGCGGAGCCCCTCCCCAACGAAAAGGGTTCCTTCTTCAGGGCCCCAACTGTAGTTCTGCCGCGAGCTCCTCTGCCTCAGCTCTGAAGCTGGCCGCTCTCTCGCCGAGTTCCAGGAGCGCCTGCCGCAGCTCGGCGACCCCCTGGTAGATCGGAGGCCCGTTAACTGCCGTGCACCTGCACCCACATGTGCCACAGTAGGAAGCGTGGGCGGAAGAGCCGTCCTGGCGCGTGCTCCTCGCGCAGCTGCTCGTCCTCGGGGTGACACTCGAAGTGCGCGATGGTGGCTCGTTGCTTCTGCGCGAGGCCCAACGTTGTGTTATTATTCTTCATATTCTTATTATTCTTCTACCCTACCCTGGGTTACAAGTGCGTGGTCTGTAAACCTCCTGGGAGCTCCCAAAGGCTAGAGAGCCGCCAGGACACCGCGCGACACGCGCGAAAGGCAGCGTTTATCCTGTCAGCCCGCAGGATTTTCAGCGCTCAGCGCCTCGTAAACCACGGTAGGGACGTTTTTTAAGCCCTGGATTATTCAACTCCTCCTGCGCGGCCGTGAACCTCAAAGTCTTTCACGACATCAGAAGCCGAAGAACCTTGACACCTCGGGTTGGTGGCGCTCAGGTCTTCCAAGGTCTGGTGGCGGACACTATCGTCCACAAGAACCCCAAAAAGCACACCGACACTTTTGGCTTGCCGGAATGCGAATCCAGCGAGCTTTTCCGCGAAGTAAGAAGTTTCGGCAATCATGGCGAGCCAGGAAACGCACAGCAAGACAGGCCCAACACCGTCGGCGCAAGCTCTTACTGCACCGTGGTCTCGGGCGGGGAGGGGCCTGTGGAGGTGACGGAGGAGGGGGTCCGGGGCGATCTCCTACAAACTTCCTGAAAGGGGGCGCCCCTGGATTTGGGAACGAAGAGTGACATAAACATAACAACTCCGAGGTCCGCGCGGATTTCTCGGATCGGCGCTGGGGCCCCCCGGCGGCGCCTCTGGCGCCGCCCCTGTCGCGCTCCGCGCGCCAGGGAAGGGGGTCCAGCGCCGATCCGAGAAATCCGCGCGGACCTCCGAGTCTTTATGTTTATGTCACTTTCCGTTCCCGTACTGGAGGACTCCGCTGGCCAACTCGCACATCGGGGTCGGGGGCATATCTCCGAAGCTGGCGAGAGCGACTGGGGCAGAGCGGAGGGCGGCGACCGCCCAGCCAGCACCGAGCGGGGTGCCGTAGGGTTCGAGCGTGAGCTCGAGCCAGCGTCTGGGAGAGGCTCGGCAACGCATCTCTGGAATCGAACGAGGCACCTCACAGTCCGCCTGCGCTTACAACATATCTCAGTCCAGAGCTTCGCCCCAAAGAAAATCGGAGGCTGCTGGTTCTGGAGCTGCCGCGCGCTCTGGCATCAGCACGGGCCGGCCGATGGCATGTGGTTGAGGAGCGGCTTATTCCCGCGTGGCACAGTGTGGCACTGTGAGGTGCAGTTGTAACGATTCGACTCTGGGAGAGGCTCGGCAACGAAGCAGAGGGCGCTTGCCGGCACCATCTTGTAGTCAGCCTGCGCGATGTGCTTCGGCGTCCAGCAGAGGCATATTGCCTGCGAGGGTACGACCTGACGTATGCCCTTGCTGGCCGCCATACGCCCGCTTGCTCACGAGGGGTTTGATCGTGAAGGTGACGGCAGAGCCGATGGCTTTCACGTCGCTGCTTTCAAACGGAGGGGCCACAGATCCTGACACTTCCGCGCAATTCGGGAGAACGTCCGAACTCTCCTCTCGTTTGAAGGGAACGCACACAGCGAGTGACTAGCTTCGCACGGTAAAAAAAACCGCCCGCGTAGATGTGCTCAACAGCTCGGTGGAGCACCGTGGCAGCAAAAAGGTGAGAGAGCCAAGCGGCATAAGGGGGCCGATCTGGACCAGGGGCGATCGGTTTGGCTCGCTGGAGCGCCTGCACAAGGGCCGCCTCGCTGGGCACTGGGGCGTCGAAAGTGGCGAGAGGGGAGACCGAGGACGAAAACTCGCGGATCGCAAACTCGCAGGTTGGGCGCTCTGCGAGCACCGGTTGCCAATTAGCCTGGGCCGCGTGAAAGATATCGCGATCACAGGTGTAATCCGAATCGCTACAGTCATCGGTCTGACCTGAGGAACGATCAATAAGCAACGAAGCCCCTTTTTTTCAAGGAAAAACGCATAAGGAACCATAATAATAAATACCGCATAAGGAAGGAATGAAACATATCGCATGCAAGCCTTTTTGAAAAGTAAGTGTTCCTTATTCAAGCCTCTCACTGTATCGCCCTCAGGACTGTGCACATGGACTTTGACCACTTCGAGTCTCAGTTGACGTGCCCACGGGGTCCAAATTCGGGCGCGGCGAGCTGCTTTCCTTCCGACCCTGCGCTGGAAAAACATCTTTGTGTCGGCCAAGCTCATCAAACTGAGAGGCCCGTGCACTGGCGATGAGGGTCCTGCGCTGATGCCACTCGTCCATGACTGCGTCGCAGGCATTATGGAAGGAAGGGGGATCGAGGAGACAGACGACCTCATCGACGACGACGAGATGGGAGGCAACAGGAAGAGAGGTGGCGATGAGCCGTGCAGCAGTGCGGTGGTCATTGCGCCACACAGTGCGAGCCATGTACCCGAAAAGGTACGTACATGCGAGTGGTTAGCGCCTCGGGGCGAGCGTTGTTTGAAAAACCAGGTCCTTGAGACATGCCGCGTAGGACTGCAGCAATTTCGTACATGAGATACTTGACGCCCGTCCAAGCATCGACCGCAGAAAGCTGAGGAAAATCAGTGCAGTGTACTTGTGTAGTCCAAAACCTGGATAGCAAGGCGCCCGAAGGGCGTGGAGAGGCCTTGCAAAACACTCTGGAAGGACCTGGAGAGAGCTTCCGAAGGTCCTTCTGACGAGCTTCTGGGCACGCGTATTGGGAAATGCTTTTTAAGAAAGGCCTGCCGGAACACGCTACAAATTCGAGCAATGCGCGCCGGGGAGCCTGGACCGCCGCCGGAACGACGTCCAGGGCTACCCTGCGGCTCCAGCTTCTTAATCTGAAACCCTCTTAGCTCTCTGCGAGCTATCCGGGAATCATGTTCGGGAATCATGTTCGGGAATCATGTTCGGAAAGACACGCCGGGGCGGCAAAAGCTCCTGTGGCGAGAGGGGCTGACGCCGGGCGAATCCTCAAACAACAGCATGGCATGATCTCGCAAGTCCTGCGTGCACTTGTGAGCTACTTGCAAGGTGGCATCTAGGAGCATCAAGCGAGCAGGAGGAGGAGGAGGAGGAGGAGGAGGAGGAGGAGGAGGGGGGAAGATGGAGGAAGGTCTTTCAAACCCCAGGGTGGTATTCCCCTCTGGTCGACCGTTCCCCTCCCTCTCTCCCTCCCTCCCCCTCCTCCACCTCCCTTGTCCTCCTCCTCCTCCTCCTCCCTCCCTCCACCCGTCGGCTCCACGTGCTCGAGCTCGCGGGAGGTCAAGCTGTAGGCCAGCATCGTAAGCGCCGCCCGCCGCAGGTGGGACCCCTGAGCGAACTGCCTCGGGGGGCTCCCTCCTCCTCCAGGTGCACCCCCAGAGGGCGAGTAGTAGGAGGAGGGGGGGGGGGAGGATGAGGAGGAGGAGGATGAGGAGGAGGAGGAGGAGGAAGAGGAGGAGGAGGAGGATGAGGAGGAGGAGGAGGAGGAAACAGGGGGGAGGGGTAGGAGGAGGAGGAGGAGGAGGAGGAGAGGAGGAGGAGGGGGAGGAGCAGGAGGAGGAGGAGGAGGAGGGGCAGATGGAGGAGAAGGAGAAGGGGGAGGAAGAGGAGGAGGAGGCGGAGGAGGAGGAGGAGGCGGAGGAGGAGGAGGAGGCGGAGGAGGAGGGGGAGGAGGAGGAGGAGAAGGAGGAGGAGGAGGGGGAGGAGGATAATATACAAACAAGTACAGGCGCTTCGGGCACGGTTTCCTGAGAGCGGATGCGGCATGGCGAAGAGGGAGGGTCTGCCGCCTCCTGGGCACATTCCTGAATTAACGCCCCCACCGTAGTATGGATACGCAGGACCGTTTGCGATGGTCACGCCTGGAACACACCGCGGCAAGAGGTGCGGCTGCTCCGTGAGCGGGTGGGATCAGCAGGAGCAACGGGCGTCCTCGGGCTCTAACTGTGCAGAAGGAACCCGTCCAGGCTGTCTCGGGCCCTTCCACAGACGTTCTCGCGTCAGCTTGTCAGACTGCCACGCACGCCGCAGGCTGCACTCGAAAATCGGAGGGGGGGAGGCGGAGGCGGCGCAGAATCGAGATGAGGAAACCCTCGTCCTCCTCCTCCTCCTTGGCTACCCTCCTTCCCCAGCCCTCCTCCCCCCCTCCTGCACCGCCCCTGCTGCGTGGTGTTTCTTCTCACACGTGCTCACCAGGATCGGGTGTTTGTCCAGAGCCGTTCTTGCTGCTGGCCATCGGTGCCACTCACAGGCCTCCCCAGAGGCCGAGCAGGGTGACTGCCGTGCCGTCGCCAAGTCTTCACACGGCGCGCACAGCGGCCTGGGCCTCCTCCCCCGCCCTCTCTCCCTGCAGCTCCTGCTTGGCGAGGCCTCGGGACTCGTGCAGACAGCCCCCCCCGTCCCAGGGGCCACGTGATGGGCCCCAGCGGTGGTGACACTTGCCCGCCCCACCAGATTTGAGCAGGGACCGACCGTCCCGGCATTCCGATAGCCCTACCACGACATGTTCTTAGAACCCAACAATGTTAAAAACAACGTTCTTAGAACGTAAGCCCCATGTGTTAAAACAAGACACTCTCCGCCAGAAATGTTCTAAGAGCGTTTCGTGGAAACCACAAACGGTTCTTAGAACATTGTTTGGTAGGGATATAGGCGAGCAAAGACGCTCCGCCACTGCTTGACAGATTGGACGACTGGCCGCGCCGCCGGCTCTCGGGTCCGTCTCCTGCCAGCCCCTGGAATGCTCGCCGCCGGTTCTCGGGATGGCCGCCCCTGCGGAAATTTCCCCCCTGGCAATGCTGTCGGCGGTGGGCAAACCTCCCTTTAGTAGACCTCCCCTTAGTGAAAACAGCTCGGGACCGAAACCGACGGACCTGGACCCGCAACAAGGACGGCCGCGACGCCCTCTCGCGAACCGAAAACGGCCAATTCCCTAATCGACGCGTCAGGGTAGGAGGTCTGTCCACCCCCGATGCTGGCTGGCCTCGGCAGGCCCCCCGAGCAGCCAGGGCCGGTCTCCACGGCCCAGCCGTGGGGAGCGGGGCGCCCCGGGTGCGCTGCTGGAGGCGGCGCCGGGGGGTCGAGACAGCCCCTGGCTCCTCGGGGGCCCGTGGAAGCAGGCCGGGGCCATCTGGGGGGGCTGCCTGCGGGCAGCCCGAACCCTCACCATTCCTGCTGCCGCCCCCGGGGGAGGGTGTCTGTGCGCAGCCCGAAGCCTCACCACTCCTGCTTCTGCCGTTCCCCCCCCCCCTCATGGCCTCGCCCGAGCAGAGCGTGGCGAGATCGAGGGAGCAGCTTGCAACACCTCTTCGCCCTCTGGGCACACACGCTTCGGCCACCCGCGGGCCGGAGCTCCCAGCCGAAATGCCAGGAGGGGGAGGTTTCTGTTGCTTCTGTCCCCTCCCCCCGTGCACGCCACCAGCCCCCCGGCTGGACGACGATCCCGCGGCGCACGGCCGCCGCCGCCTCGGCGCACCAGCGATGCACTGCTGAGCCGAGGCACCGCCGAAGGCGGGGGAGTTGAAGTAACCCCGAACCGCTGCCACCACTGGAGCCCTTTCGGGGCCTATCCCGCCAGGCCGCACTCCCAGTCCAGCTGGCGAAAGGTGCGCACCATCGCAAGCACGCGCTCAGCGCGCGGTCTTCCTCTGTGGCCGAGCTCTCCCACTGCCGTGCACGCGAACAATCATGGCGTTTATGCACTTCCCGCGCAGGGGCAACAGCGCGCACCTCATCACAACGCATCACGGGCTGCACCTCGTTCGCAAAGGTTCCGCAGAACCAACTCGGCCGATGAATATCCCTTCCACCACCGAGCAGTATTTGTCAAGGGACAAGCTCAAGGTTCCAGCCATTCTGCACACAATCATCTCGCACGCTCGGCTCATCATGCGGACTGAAGTCAAGACCTCCTGAGCGAAAGAGGATTTCACGACGAAGTGCAACACCTTCCATCGCACGATCTGCACAGTGAGGGGGTTCATCAATTGCATGCATCCCGAAACCTCGCACGACTTCACGCTTCATGACGTCGAGTTCGTGCAGAAGGACCGCCGCATCAGCGCAACCAGGCTCCACAGCACCAACTGGAGGACACTCAACGTGCAGACCAGAATGTGGAACGGGACCGTTTGCATCAGCGCAATTGGCACCGCCAGGAGAAAACCCATGGCGAACGGCAGCGTCAGAGCAAGAATGAGCAAGTCAATCAGCTCCGCGTTGACGATGACATGGAAGGACGAGACGGGCGGGAGGCTCACGAGATTACCGCGTTCTTCCTTCGAGATCGTTTTTAGGGAGGACGCACACGACGGGATACGGGGATCGAGAAGTGCCGCTGTCAGACGACTAGGGATCACCTCCGTCATGCCAAGGATCTTGATCAGGGAGCCAGCCATCAACACCCATTCCACGGTCTCTGCCAGGGCCGCACGGTCCACCGCCTCCATCGTCGTCATGAGCGCCATCATCCTGCGTCTTTCTCCTCCTCCTCCTACTTCTCCCCCTCCTCCTCATCATCATCCTCATCCCCATCCTCATTCTCGTCATCATGACTATCAGCATGATCATCACCATACTCAACACGATCGCATCGAATCCTCCTCCTCCTCATCATCATCATCACCATCATCACCATAACCATCAACATCGCCATCACCACCATCATGATCTTCATCATCACCTTCATCATGATCTTCATCATCACCTTCATCAACATCATTAGCATCACCATCATAGTTGCCATCATCAGTATAACGCTTCCTACCATCACCAGTATCATCACCGCCACCACCGTCATTTTCATTACCATGACAACACCACCACCATCCTAATCATCATCGTCGTCGCCATCATCATCATCATCACCATCATCATCATCATCATCATCATCATCATCATCATCATCATCATCATCATCATCATCATCACCATCATCATCATCACCAACATCAGCATCACCACAACCACCATCATGATCACCATCGTCATCACCATCACCCGCAGGCATATGACATCGATCGAGTTGATCGTCAACACGCCCAACACTCGGATCGATCGAGTTGTCCGAATCGATCCGTAGGCATTTGATATCGATCGAGTTTGAAGGACGTTCTCACGTAGCACCTGTCGTCCCAGCTCTCGTGGTCCACGGCGATGACCGTCGGGAGCTCGTTGAGGATGCGGGTCAGCCACCCGCGCGAAAAGCGAGGCGCACCTTCACCACCACCTTGCCGACGGTGCGCCTGCCGCTCGCGCGCCAGTTCCAGGGGCAGCCATTGCAGCCGCGCGGCGGAGGTGACCATGGCAGGCAATTGGAGGAAGAGGGGCCGCGCAGGTGCGCGGCGGTGTCCCCTATGCCAAGCACGTGCGTTGGCCGAGGGCTACATGACAGGATGGGGGAGGGGAGGAGCAGGAGGAGGAGGAGGAGGAGGAGGAGGAGGAGGAGGAGGCTGACTGACTGACTGACTGACTGACTGACTGACTGGCTGACCGACTGACTGACTGACTAACTGACTACTTCGAATCATCTTGGAAACGCTCGCCACGACGGACGCGGATGCCAGTCAAGGAGAGGCCGACTCCCGACTGCAGGGCGCCGAAACAGGTCGAAAACCACCCCGCCACCAGGACGGCGACGGGCGCCGCAGGACTGCAGCCAGAAGCCACCCCCTCCCCGACCTTTCCCCGCAGACCTCCTGCGCCTTGAGCGGCGCCAGGAGGGCCATGAGCTCGCCCTGGCACGCAGGCTGCGCCTGCGGCCAATCCAGGAATCCAAGGGGTTCGGCCCAAGGTCCGTCGCGGCCTTCATCTCTGAGATGCTGTCGGCGCCCTCGAACCCCTCCTTGAACTTGACCTTCTTCTTGCCGACGTGGCCGTCGAACACGCTGATCTCCATCGGCTCCTCCGCGCATGCGGAGCCGCGGAGCCCGCGCCCTTCTGCTCCGCCGACTCGCCCCCGCCCTTCTCAACCGTGAGCTTCGGGAGCGGCACCACCTCGGGCACAAGCGCCTTGAACTTCGCGCGATCCTCGAAAACGTCGAAACCGCGGATCGCGCCCACCTCTGCGTCAGTAGCCAGCCTCCACGCCGCCATCCTCTGCTGCTTCGCCTTCTCCGGCTTGTAGAACGTCTCGCGGCTGCCACGCGCCATCTCGCTGAAGTCGCATACCTTGCCAATCGACTCGGGCGCGCAGCTTTCCGATTCCTCGACGAGTTTCTCCTCCCCGGAGCACCAGCGCGCCCAGCCGTCCGCGAACGAGCCACCGTCGTCATCCGCCAAGCTGAACACCTCCATGCTAAACCCGCTGAAGGCCTTGAAGTTGCCGCCGTCGCAATTGAATGTG